TAGTAATAGTAATAAGTGTAATAGTAGTAGTAGTAGTAGTAGTAGTAGCAACAGTAATCGTAATAATAATAGTAATAGCATCGGCAGCAGGAGCCGGAGGAAGGGTAGCAGGCGGAAGGGCTTCGCAACGATTCAGCGCTGTCTCCTGCCGTTCAATTTTCCCTCGAAGCGTCGAGCTTCAAGCCCTTGATGTCCAAACCAGTGAGACGGTGTGATACACGCTCCTGGCTGCCAGCAAGCACAGGAGGAACTGCACAACCGCGTAGATGTTCCGGCCGCCGAAATCCAGCAAAAACCGGGCCGCAACAGGGCCCAAGAAGCGGGCGATGCAAACACCAGCCGTGCTATGCAGACGGTACACTTCGATGCCGTAGCTTGTACCTTTGGTTGCCGCACGGCAGGCCCATCCCTCACCTATGCCGGTAGCAATGCTGGCCCCACCATAGACGATGACATCAGCAAGTAGCAGGCTAGCAGCGCCGAGGTGAAAGTCAAAGAACAAAATGGCACCACATGCTCCCAGGCCGGCCATCGTCAAAAAAATAAAAGGCTCATTCATAAGCTTCCAGGACATGAGAAGGGCAGAGAAGCCTGTCATCAAGAGACTGCCAAAAGCAATGACCATGAAGGACGCTCCGCTGAACTCAGGACTCCAGCCGTAGGAGACCTCTTTTCTAGAGGCCCAGGAATGAACAGCCGGATACAAGACATTACATTAGTATAAGATTACTCAATGACTACTGATTACTGCAGGATAGTGTATTGGGTGATAAAATGTTTTCCCAAAAACGGAAGGCCAAGGAAAACAGCCGCGCCTCTAAGAGCATTATGGTGGCCACCTCTATTGCCGAGACGGTGAAGCATCGCTCATAGGCATAGTACACCATATTCCTCGAGCACTTGTCGGAACCCTGCCTACAGTCAAGGAACTGCTGAACAATTTAGAGCTACGAATACGGGCATGAGAGACAGCGTCATCAAAGTGGAGCCCACTGTTCCAAAAAATAAGCCCTGTCATTGTTGGGTACGGCAAGCAGGCCCTATTTTGAGAAATCGCAGATGCGAAGCAACAGCAAGGAAATTGCATTCGAGATGCCACACGATTTGCTCACGTGAGTCTGCCCTCAAGCTCTCGGGCTGAACCTCCTTGCAGTTTTGAACCCCCAATACAACAATTTATTATATTATTGCATTATTACTCATTATTAATAACATTATGAGTACTACTATGAAGGCTCTTTGTTGGTACTCGTAGAACACAAGAAAACGGAAATCATGGGAGGTTCCTGTGGGACATCCTTTGCATTGCACTTGTCCTCACTCGCCTGAGGCCTCGTATCCGGAATTTGAGTGGGAAGGATGCTGGCGACTGTCGCTAACTCAGTGGCCTGGATAAAGAACATGCCCATGTATACCCAGCTCATCATGCTGATTGGAGACACTGCTTCACTGGCGTAGCTCCCCCGGACGAAGCGGCTCAGCATGGCAAAGCAAATCGGACCTGCGATGAGGCCGCAGTTTTTGGAACACTGGGCCAGCATCGACCAAAATGTCTTGTCATCGTGGGGAGTAACCAGATTCCACATGGTGCACCACGGAATCATGATCATTCCACCGAGCACATTGGCTACAAAAGTCAGGAAGACTACAAGCCAAAAAACCATGCGCTTGGCCTCCACATGCCATCCGATGCAGGCCTGGATGACCAAAGCAATGGCAGGCATGGCACACACATTAAGCCCATAGCAGCAGACAAAGACCTTACGAGCATGGCGTTGGTCCCAGTCCTGTTCGTTGGTGAATCTCTTCCCAGCCAAGGTGCCGATGAGTGCACCCACTGGCATGGTCCCGATCATTACTCCGCTTGCAGTGGCGGATTCTCCCATAGCCAGCGCATAGTCCAGCGAAATAGGTATCGATAACGACTTGGTGACGAAAGGCACGAACCAGCCAATCAAGAAGCCAAGCTGGAGCAGCGTTGAGTTGCTGCCATCCCTCCTTGCCAAGAGTGGCTTCCCCCCTGCTCCCACGAAGAGCTCATGCATCAGCGCAAGGCAAAAAAAAAGAAGTATGCCCATGATCACGCCCGTGCCGATTGTCACTTCTACCTGTGAGAAGCTTTCAGGCCGGAGCGCGTCCGTCAAAGGCCCTTCGACAATGAGGCGGGCCTTGAACTGCAGCAGGATAGTGCTATCCTCTGCAGTCGAGAATGCCATGTAGTGACACGCATGAGGGTTCGGAACAAGAAGATACGCCAGATAAGCAAGTCAACGAACGACTTGAGCTTGAGAGTTTCCAAAGCTGGCGGCGGCGATGGTAGTGGCGGGAGCAGGGAAAGGACGGCAGAAGGGAGGGAGATGGGATTCAAAGTGGACACACAGGAGGAGGGAGAGGGGAGGCTAAATAAAGCAGGGCGTACTGCTTGTTGGAATGCGTCGGTAATTAAACCGCCCTCCTTATTGTGGTCCCTGAAAACGACACACAGAGTTGGGGTTAGGAGCTCAACCTTGGGCCTCGTTGCCCTCCAGCTTTCCGAGGGTCTCAACATGCAATGCAAGACTTTCGCATGACCTACAATGCAGCACGCATGTGGCTTGTTAATGTCTGCCTTTATTTCGATTTATCAGCAACCACATGTGACCAAAGGTTATAATGGATTTTCTAGAGGTGCTCGGGTGGCAGAGATGCATGTTGTAGACACATGTGGACAGTTTCAACTCGGAGGAAGGCTGAAACCGGCGCTGCTTACATACTAGTTGCTGTCTTGGGCACATCCAGGACATGAAATAAAACACAAGGTCGCCAGGCTTCACATGTGACTTGGCCGGAAGCGCCAAGTTTATGGCTACCAGGACCCCGCTCACTCTGATTTCATGCCGATAAAAAACGTCTCGCATGCACCTCCTGGCTGTGCCTGGGTCAGCGTTTGCAGGTTTTGCGTGCCTCTCGAACTCAACAGTCTTATCGCAACGATGCTTTGCTTCCAATCAAACACCTCACATCCTCCTGTGTTTGGTTCAAAGCTGGCAGTTGGGCCCATTGCATCCTGCCCCATGCCGCTGCAAGCCTGCTTTTCCCTTCCTATCTCTCTAGCTCATTAGGTCGTGGCCGGAGGCTTGAAGTCAGCCTCGGCTAAAGAGTTGAGTATTAAGAGTCGAGTAATGACAGACACAACGAGTAAAAACACAAACAAGTCGATACCTAGTGGGTCGTCTCAGCACTAAAAGGAGAGCATGAGGAATATGGATGGCGGTCATAATGGCCTTGTACGTACATATGTCATATGAGATCACATGATGGAATCCAAAGCCAGCTGTTAGTCAGTCCATACAATGAAACAGGCAGCAGCAGCAGCAGCAGCAGCAGCAGCAGCAGCAGCAGCAGCCGCAGCTGCGTAACAACAAAGTAACAGCAACGAGTCAGCAACGCAGCAATCGCGCAATAAAAACACAGCAGCAGTATCAGGAGCACCACCAGCGACTGACGACGAAGACAGCAACACGACGAAAACAACGCCAACGACGAGGATAACGACCAGAACAGCAACAGCCACAGCAAAAGCGTAACAACGCACCAATAGAACTGATTTCGTATACCGCTGCTCCCCCGCCCCCGATTTTGGTGAGATCCAAAAATTTGGCTTTTTCTTCTGGTCGTGTGATGTTTTAAGTTAGATGAGCAAGTAGTGACTACTTGTGATTACTCGGAAAAGATATTGAACCTGAGTTTGACACGTGCACGTCACTGAGTTCGAGCCTTAAAAACCGAAGGGAGCCTGGCCTGAAAGGATTTCTTTTCAGCTTACTCGAGGACAACAGGCTGCGACTTTGAGCGAGTACTGCACCTGAGCTCGGAACCAAATCAACCAAATCATAATAATGCTTTGGGGTCTCGCCTAGTCTTAGTCGAGACAGCAGACGTCATTTTAACAGGGTGGTACGACATCAGAGCCTTCGAAACCCAATTATGTAGATTTCTTTGGGGTACCAAAATTGTTTTCATTTCCCTGGCCCCATGCCTGAAATTCGTTGTCTTTATAAGGTACATGAATAAGAAGCCTTGCCAAAGCTTGCGGATACTACAAGTGTCGTCTCACTCGGACTTCATGGTTCTTCCTTGCCCGATTCCACAGGTAAGTGAAATCCCATTGCTCTTCGAAGGCGGTGTGCGGCTAGGGCCTTCTGTTTGTTGACTCGGGCCTGGCATTCCCGACTCAGCCCCCCATCTGCGCCTGCCCGTACAATGATCTCCAGATCTCTGAGGGGGCGCATTGTCCGGTTCGAGCCTGCCGTTTTCCAACTCGGGCCTCCCGTTTGTCAGACTGGAGCCCATTGTTTTCCCGCTCTGCGCGGCCTGACACCAGCCTCTGTTTTCTGACGCAAGCTGCGCCTGTTGCATGCTCCTGGACACGACCGCAGTTACATGGTTAAAACGAAAAATCGAAGGTTTCAACTGTATGATTATGATGACAGTGCGGCGCGCTCACTTCGTCCTGTCAAGCCAACAGCAAATCTTTGGCGGTAGATGTAACTCGTCTTGAGGGCTGGAAGGGGCCTCTGCCAAAGCATTACGGCAAAAACCAGCATGGGCATAATTTGGGTCGCTGTTGCGGACATGGCGCTCTAAAATCCGGGCAAGTCCATGGCTCAAACAACCATTAAGGGCTAGCAACAACCCCAAATGGCCCAGGATCTACTTTAGGAGGCTTGAGGGCAGCAAGTCAACACGTCACGTTCGACACCCGAGGCAAAGGCGGAGTTGTTCTTGACCCTTACACACAAATGCTTGCGCAAGCACCCAAACTTTTTCAACCCACGCTGGATTCATGCGGTCACTGCTTCGAGAACTTCACGCGGCAGCCATCTTTGTAGGTCTTGTTGACCTCCGGTTTGGGTCTAACCCTAAAACCTCCGCAGCTCTACACCCCTAAATCTCTCAAATTCTAGAACCATGAGACTTGGAAGCATTAAACCCTAAAATACCACACCCTGCAATCCCCAAACCCCGAATGTAGTGTTCACCTGAGGTTTAACGGGGTTCAGGATTTAGGGCTGAGACCTGCGACCTGGTTACAGGAGGAGGAGGAGGAGGAGGAGTGCAAATAGGACCTTCGAAGTTCAAAGCCCATAATTCCCGGTATACCAGAAGGAACGCTAAGCGGCCGGATTTCCCGGATTGACAACTTCAGTCATGTCCATCACCTTTGCAGGTATTTGAGGGTTTAAGGTTCAAGGTTCAGATACTTACTTGGGGATTTATTCCAGGTTTGGGGTTGAAGGATCTGAGTTATCTGTTTCTGCATCAACAGAGAAGTTGTCTTTTCTTCGTCGAGCACAAGTGAAGTTTTTCATTTTGTTGTACAAGACACATCTCGCTTTTTGGAAGGCTTGGGACTTGCAAGCTTGGGGGTTACCACAGGCCTAGGCTTGTAGAGCCAGGAGCTTAGGTATGCTTAGGTGCGGGGGCTCTGGAGCGTAAGGGTCTAGCGCTTCAGGTTAAGTGCAGGTATATGGGTGTATGCATGTGCACATAAAGAAAAGCAGGACAACGGACTGAGACTGAGACTGAGACTGAGAGACATTTCCGACTAATACTACGAATTATTGTTACTAATGTTACGAGTCTTCTACTACAATATTGTTGCTACTCTTATTCTTGTTACCAATACTGCTACTACCAGTCTTATCACCATTGTTTTTGTTACCTAGATTACTATTGACTATTGCTATTATTACCTTGCACTCTTATTGCGACTATTACCAGTATTAGTATTACGAGTATTTTTACAATTACACCGGACAACGGAACAATATAGAGAAACAAAATTCCCGCCTGGAAGTTGTACTCGCGGCACAGGATACGGGCGAAGAGCTGCAGTTCGACTAGCGCCACGTGCTTCCCGATGCATTCGTGGGGTTGATTCCCCCCGAAAACTGTGAACTTGTCCTGCATTGGTATTAACTAGGGCTCAAGGTTTTAGTGTGGGGCCAGGGCTTAGCAGCTAAGTGTTCAAAGGCAAACCTGCATGGAAAACGTTTATATGATGTGCATCTCCAGGCTAAGAGCACCCTTTCTTTTTCGAGCATGGCACGAACATGCTGCTGGGCAAAAAGCTATCCCACACAAAACAACCCTAAACCCCCAAACCTAGACCAAAAAAACATAGAAACACTGCATGGAGCGATTGCGTGACCGCAACAATGAGCTCCGGAGAAGAAAATTTTCCCGCTGTAGCAGCTTTGTTCTGACCCTTCAATTTTTGCAGTGCTGGAAGCCGTTTCTGGTTTCAAGCAGTAGTAGTAGTAGTAGTAGTAATAGTATAGTAGTATAGTAGTATAGTGGTATAGTAGTATAGCAGTATAGTAGTAGTTGGTCCGCGTCCCGTTTGTGACGCCACATTTTTGTGTACTTCGCATGTCTAANNGCTTGCCACACATTTTAGGATTGGGGAGAGTCTGGGGGGGGTTCCTTTTTTCAGTGTTTTTTGTACTATGAATCTGCGACATTGTTTTGTGGAGGCAGCCTGAGCTGTTGCTGAGACATGTGTTTGGAAACCCTGTAAAGGAAACGCAATAGTGGCCCCCATATCTAACATGGAAACCTTTATCACAAACCCTGATCCCTGAACCCTAAACCCTAACGCCAGGCGTTTGGCTGCCAGCGCTTGCAAGCTAGTCATGCATGGGATGGTGTCAATTAGCATGCTTTCCAAATTTGTGATTGTGGTTTTTGCAGCCTTTAAGGCTACTCCGCTCTCTGAAGGAGAGCTCACACAGAGCCCATTTTGGGCCAATCCGCTCGCAGCCATACACGGTCCTGCCCCTTACGCCTTCATGACGGAGGGAACCGGAAAGGGTGGAAACCCAAATGTGGGCAAGGGAAGCCTTCCGATCGCTTCGGGGGGCGATTTGAGGGCTTCGCTTTAGGTGACGAGCTCAGACGTCTACTCCGCCGGGCAGAAGCTGTGGTTCGCAAGTCAAAAGAGGCAGCACCCACCAACACCAAGCCTTTCGTCCGCTGTCTCTGCACTGGCTACTCCGCACGGGGAGGAAGACACCCCCATGGAGGACGACACAGCACAGGCTTCGGAGCCGCAGCAGGGTGAGGATACAGGTCAATGAAATTAGTTGTCAGTAGTCAGTACTCAGTGGACAGCAGTCTAGTAGTCAGTAGTCAGGACTCAGTTGCCAGTATTTAGTGGATAGAAGTCAGTGATGAATAGTTGGTAGTTAGTAGTTCATACTTGTCAGCCGTTAGCAGTGCGTAGCTAGTAGCTTGTAACTGGTAAGTAGTAAGCATTAAGCAGTAAGCAGCAAGTAGAAAGTAGTAAGTAGCAATCGTAAGTAGTTAGGAAGTAAGTAGGAAGGTGGCCCGTGAGAAACAAGTTCTTAAGCTGTCTTCTTCTGGAATGATATTCAAGGGATTTGCATGACCGTTGCGCCGTGCGCAACATCAAGAAGTTTGAGTCCCAGTATACAAGCACAGGTTCTGAAAACCGACTACAACACGTACTAGTACTACTAAACTTAAACCCTAAACCCCAGGCCCTAAACCCTCAACCTGCAACCCCCTTTCCCACTCGGGCCGTCCTTGGCTTCGGTTAGCCACCGCTCCGGATCAAACGCCGGTCCCATGTCCTGGCAGAAGATTGAGAAATTCCGGACTTACGATGCTTTACGCTCTCTTGGTTTAGGGATTAGGGTGTAAGGAGTTTGGGGTTGAGGGATTTAGGGACCTCTGTTGCAGAAGTTATGGCCGATGAAGTGTTTTTTTTTTTGCTTTAGGGTCGAGGAATTAAGCGCCTTAGGGCCTTGTAAGTACATGAGTTCAGGGCCGAAGAATTCAACATTTGAAAGGCTTAGGGGTCAACTTAGTCTTGGGTCAAAGAGTGTAGGGCTTTTCTATGGCTTGTTTTCACGGCCTGTTTAGAGCCTGTTCTGTTTAACTCTTTTTTAGGTGCTGTTCGCGGCATCGGGTCGAGTTTGGTCTCAGGGCATAGTCCCATAGGATGGACGGTGAAGACCTTATAGATAATTATAGATTCATATGTACATCTTTAGTTATCAATTGTGTATCTATTTATTCATCTAGGGAGAGCCCCGCCCCATTTGGTTCAAACAAAGCGAAGCTTCTAAAGACTCGAGCTTCGGTGAAGCTCCGCTGCTTATGAAGACTCTAGCTTTGGAGCTTCGCAGTTAATCTTGGAGCTTTTGAAGTCTTAGAGCCTGAACCCCAAAAACGCCAGAACTCCTTGAGGTCTGCCCTGAGGTCGATCGCCATAGGGCATCCCATTGGCACAACACCGTGCTCCCCGAGGTCAACGTCCTGCTTTAGGGCTCTGAGTTTAGGGTTTCGAGTTTGGGGCTTAGAGTTAAAAATTTAGGGTGTAGTGTTTGGGGTTCAGGGCTTAGAGTTTTATGCTTGGGGTCTAGGGTCGACAGAATGTCAAAAGGTCTTTTGTTCGTTCTGTTCTGTTCTGGATCGATGGCTAATTCAAGTCGGATGGAACCTTACCATCCTCATGCGATGACGTGCTGAAGCTCAAATGCAAGGTACACAACAAGAGCCATTAGCAACGCTATCAGCACCCTACACCCAAATTAAACCGTGACCTAAACCCAACACCCTAAACCCTAAGCCCAGAACACTAAGCCCCAAAACCCTAAGCTCGGTTGAATGTCCTCTTTCACGTCCACCATTACCACCATTCTCTCCCAGTAGCGTGGTCGACGCTACCCGAACCCTAAACCCTAGACCCTAAACCCCAAAATACTCTAACCTAAACCATCAACCCTCGACCCTAAACCTGAAACTGTGAAAGGTATGGCATTGTGTGCATCTGGTCTTCATCCATATGCTCAGCATTTCGGATTTAGGTTTCTCGATTTAGGTAGGAAACATATTTGGTGTGAATTTGAACCGAACCGTACAGGCCTTGAGCTGACCAGAATACCGATCCAAAAAACAAGTCGAAACTAAAGGTCGGCAAAAGGGATTTGCAACCGTTCCAATCCGAAATGGTTAAATAAATCCGCATGGTAACGGAGCCATGAAGGGCTCCAGAAGCTGCTGTTGCTGCTGTACATAACGATATGGTAGCCTTTAATTACTGCAGAAGCCTTTAAGCCCCCCATTTCATAGAAACCCGTTATGAGGGTTGGGGCTTCGGGCTGCTTGGAGCCCCAGCGCCCTCATTTCATTTTCATAGAAAGCATTATGACATGGGGTTTATGTCTTCGACCAACGTGAAGTTCACGGGAACACGAGCAAAGCAACTCATTTCATGGAGAGGGTAGGGCTTCTGCAAGTCATTGGCTGAAGGTCCAACAGAGCATTTCATGTGCTACCCCAGTGCCGGGCGGTCTGTGCTGCTTGGCTGCGTTTTTCTTAAGTGCTGAATTCTTCAGGTTCATAACATGTCAAAGCAGTATACTATAATATACTGCATTATCTCTATGTTAGATTATGCTCTACGACGCTGAGCTTCACATCGTGTTAACCGACAGGCTTGCTGTAGGCTCTACCAGAGACCCCTTTCCACCCAGCCACGCCCGACACTAGATTATACTATGCAACACCCGGCACCGGGGTAACGCACCCCCCTTTTTTTCACTATACTATACTATACTATACTATACCACACTAGCTGGACTAGACTGTACTATACAGTACGTAACTGTACTACACGGTATTTTACCAGCAGTAGTAATCGTAGTCGTAAGAAGTAGTTGCTTGGCTGAGGTTGCTAACCTTGGAATGCGACTGGAGAAGTTGGCCCTTGGTAGGGGGCATCTTACTCAAAATGTAGGTGTTGGTAGCTTTGGTAGAATGACTGATAGCAGTGGCGCTTTTGGTATTTGTGTAGCATCGCCCCAAGGGCAAAGCTTTTTACGGAACCTCTTCCCGGCCAAGACCCGAAAAGGAAGAGCAGGACATTTTTTTACAACAAAGTCTGAGGAGTGGCTTATTCCCGCGTTGCCAGCCCACATTTTGGTGGCTGGAAAAGCCGGGGCTAGAGATCTCAGGCTTTAGCGAAAACCTGATGACCTTGAAGGGTTGGGTAGCTCTGGGCAGTGGCAGTCTCCCTATCGAGATTGATCAAGCCATTAAGTGGCATGATGAGATTTTCAAGCAAGTCTCACCAAAACGAAAGCTCACAAGAGTAATAAGCTCCTCGCAATTCCGCGCCACGTGCGGGCAGATGTGATTTGGGTCATATACGGAAGGGGCCATGTATGGCGAAAATCTTCAATGCTGCCCACGGGACACGTGTGGCAATGAGACTTTAAAGTTTTTGCTTCATGAGTTCTCCCTTCGATCTTGGGTTGAGGCCAGCCACTTTCGAGCAGAATTTATCAAACTCAGTTTCCGTGGAGAGTCTGCAGCGACTCATGTCTCAGACATAGCAAAGTGGCCGTAGAACTTTCTCTCTACAAGAAACTTGTAGAGGCCTTGCCTAATACTGTTTCTCGTGACAGCCTCGAAGCAGGCTGTCCGATCTTACCCTTATGTTTTTACGGTCGATTTCGAAAGATGCTCCATCCTACTGCCTTTTGCACGCTACGGGAGAAACATACCTGGAGTTGAGACTCGCAGCCTTACGGTACCAGTCTCAACGCAGCGACTGTTTGCTGAGATGGGCCTGAATGACAGGCCCGAGCTTTTTGCAAATGAGCTAGACGATCCCACTGGCAAGTAGTGAGAGGACGGCGAGTGGTATGAGGAAGACACCTTCAACTGACATGCTGCTGGTAAATGCCGGCGTTGTGGCAAAGCAGGCCACGATGAGAAGGACTGAAAAGAGAATTCTGTACAGTTGAATGTTTTCGATGTGGTGAAACTGGCCACATAGGTGCACGATGCCCAAAGAACAAGCCGGCCAAATCCCCGCCCGATAGTGCTAGCCAAAGCGGCAAAGCTGCCAATGGCAAACCGAGGGCAAAACCAAAGGTGGCTAAAAAAAATGCACGAGCGTATTGGCGAAAATGAAGCCGGAGCTGCAGATGAGGCGGAAGGAGACTGGCCAGCTGAAGCTGGCGACTACGAAGGCGAAGAAGAGGGTCAGGCGAGCAGATTGTTCGTAATGCCACTTCTCTGTGACGCCGAAGGCGCGAGCGAAGACGGTGAGACAGCTTATGCTTCACTGCCTGACTTCAATACGGAGGTTTCCGCGTTCAGTGACACTGAGTATGCGTCTGGCCTACGTGCTGATGACAGAGGCTCTTAGATCAGTGAAACTGAGTATGCCTCCCTGCTAAGTTTGGATGCTGAAAGTGTCATGTTCTTTTTTGCGACGCTTTAATGGTGTCCCGAATTGGTACAGATGACAGCTGGTCCTGGTGGCTGCTGGATTCCGGTGCTTCCGTGACAATTAATTATGTCGGTGGATGTTGAAAGCGCTACTCCTCTTCCGAGCTTGCTGATCGCTCCCGTAAAGATTTTTGCAGCTAATGCCTTAGCTGTACATATGCTCGAGCAAGGGCGCGCAAATGTGACTCTTGAGACCCTGAACAGTTGGGAGTCTGGGAGCCCAACTGCCAAGACTTTCGCTCTGAACTGTTTTGTAGGCAAGACAAAGCCAAAACAGAATATCAAGAGTGTTCAAAAACGGTTGGAACGTTCATTTCACCTGAAACTGCTGCTATTTAGAGCCCGGAACTGGTGTATATAATCCTTTGTTAGCCGGGTTTTGTGGGTCCGTGGTTGAGGGCCGTCAGCAATGCCAACGGTTCGAGATCTTTCCAAGACCAGGGTTTTCCCCGTTGTTCGTGGCTGCAGCAGCTGCAGAAGAGCCCGCGGCAGAACAGCCTGTGGCTGAAGAACCCGAGGCTGCTTCGGCCAGCGCTGTAAAGAGATGCGGTTGAGTATGAAACGCACTGTTTGAGGGGACATTTTGCTTATACAGTGTCAGCAAAGCCGTGGTGTGCATAGACACCTCGTATATGCTCTGATTCCTTTGAAATTGCCCAGAACAATTCTCGGCAAGGGAACAAGTTCTTGGCCATTGTAGACACGGAAACAGGGATGATAGCTGTAGCGCCTTGTTCCCTTGATAGGGGTGCAACCGATGCTGTGTTCGCTCATTGGTTGGGATAAACTTGAACCGTTGGAAGCCTGTTTAAAACTAGCCTCGACAGTGGCTTGCGCGCCCGGGTGCGCAAAGCTGAACCACGAGGGCGTAGGCGCTGTTGAGCGGACAGTTTGCCGCTTCAAAAACGCAGCAGCAACTATGCGTGTTGACGTGCTGGAAGCAGGTGTAGGCATCTGCAAAACACATGACGAATGATTTCAGCTTTTAGCGGTATGCAGCGTTTGCTCAGAAGTCCCTTGCATGCCCCGGAAACAGGACGGGAACCCCGCGCGAAGCAGTGGCAACTCGTCCACTCCCAATCTCCAAGTTTGCAATGTATTGAATTGCTCGGTTGTGTTTGCCGAAGTACCGGAATCAGTTCCAGCACCTGCACTTTCTTAAAGCTTGTTACTTGGGACCCCAGTGGTGCTCGTTGGGGCATATGGTTGTTACCACGCTGGAGGGAACCAAGAAAGTGTTTAATGCAGTGAGCATCAAAACGTTGACGCCAATTACTTTTGATGTTTCTCTTGCTTGGGCTTTCTGGCCACAAGCGTCCAGCCCATGGTTTCTAAACCTCAAGTGGGTGTGCCAAAGCCATATGACGGAGGTGTACAACCTGGTCCGGCTGTTGTTGCAGGACAACCACCGGCTGCGTTTTACAAAGAGCATGGGAGAACGCCAGGATGCAACGCCTATTCTCACCGAACTTCTAATGGATGAATACACAACAAGGCTTGTAAAGAACGGTATCGTCTCTTCAGAGGCAGGGCGAATTACCAAGTCAAGAGAGGCAACCTGCAAAGCAAACTGAACCTTTGCCTGCTGCTGCTTCTATCTCTCAGGACGACCTGCTGCCGGAACTGCCAGATGTTTTGGATTCCGAACTTGATGAAGACATTACAAGGTGTCAGGTGGGAAGCGCCTTGGCTCATCCTACTTTTCAGCCTTTTCACCGGGTAAAGTTTGTCCTCGCCAGGTGAAGTAGTAAGTAAAAACCAAGAGGGTCCAGCTCAACATGAACTAGAAGAACAAGGTGCGCTCAATCTTGATGACTATTCGCCCAGCGAAGCCGACGACAATGCGCCAGCTTTTCTTATACAAATGCTAGACCACATGGTTGACGGCGGAGGTTGTGTCCAATGCTGCTGACAACGATCAGGAACCTATGAAATTGGAAAAATTAATAGACGTGGCCACTAGACATGAAGACCATGGGGGTCTGACGGGCCCTGACGTAATTAGCCCAAATGCGTTTAAGCTTTCCGACGTCGTGTTTGCTGGTGTAGCTAAAAGCCAATCCTCAGTAGAATATGGCTTAAGTACTGCTTGAGTATATCACTACGGATGTGCTCGGTCCCCTTGGACTGCAGGATCGCGCCGTGAGCATGCTTCCTTTGCGGTCTTGTTGACGGCGTGGAGTGTTTAACTCTCCCATATGTCGACGACGTGCTTATAGCATATCCCCGTAGGATGGTCATCGACAGAGTCTTTAATGTGCTGACAAGCAAAGTGCCTACAAAACTGACTGGTAGAATCTTTACCTCAAAAGGGGTGGTGGATGGCTAGGCTTTTTGGGGCGTAACATTGAGAGGAGGCCAGGCGAGGCTACACTCACTGTCTTGGTTGATGCTTCATATTTAGACTCGCGTTATGATGACTTTAAATTGTCAAGGTCGAGATTGTAGTTAAATTGCTTTTCTGCTTTTCCAGACATTCGGGCACTGTTAGAGAAGCCTAACAGCCCCTCGTTGTCTGCAGAGGCGCATGCTGAATCTCGTCGAGTTTTGGGCAAACTTGCATGGTTTGCACAAGAGCGTGAAGACTTGCATGTGGCCATTTCCCATATCTCTGGGGGACAGAGTGCCCCGACAGCTGCACGCGAGGAGGCCCTACGTGCTATCTTTGGTTCTCTTCGAAAAGATGGAGACGTGCGAGTGCATTTTCCTTCCCCAAAGAGTATGAACAAGGACTCTTGCGCAGAGGCTTCTGTGTTTTCCAATGCGTCTTATGCACCCATGCGGTCGCTAGGCCATAGTATCACCAGAGGTGTTGTCATCTTCCACGGTTCTCTTATCAAAGCCCTGGCACAGCAACAGTCCTCATTTACCCTAAGCAGCAGTGAAACTGAGTTGCATGCGATCCAAACTATGACTCAACAGTCGGTTTTGAACATTGTACATAGGATTGTATCAAGCTTTACGTGGCTGTCGAAGGCTGAATGGCCTTGTATGCAGCTTTCAAAAGTCTCCGAGTCGGCACGTGTGCTGCTTACGAGCGCGGATTTGCCACGACACTCAAGGCACCTCGAAACTAGAATTCTGTGGCTGCGTGAGCTTATATCAAGGGGATATCTCCACATTCGGTGGATCATGGGCACCGAAAATCCGGCCGACTTGTTTACCAAATTGTCTTCCAACGTCTCTCTTTGTGCGTCATAGGCGTGCTTGGCGATTCCTTCCCTATGAATGGCCATCAATCCAAGCACTGTTGAACTCTTCTGCTGCTTAGTTTTGCGCGTGTTTGGGGTCTACGCCGGCTTTCTCTGACGGTGAATTGGGTGTGCAAAGAGTTTAGGATGTTTAGGATCGTGCGTAAGTTGGCTTTTGAGGCTGATATAAGTTGCGAGGGCCTAAGCACCTTGGACTTTTTTGAAATGTGTTTGAAATGATCTACATTTCCGCGTAGTTGTGTGGCTCGAGATGTCGATGCCAAAGAAGCCTGCCCAAAAGAAATGCGAAGAGGAACTCTGACAGTTTAGCGAAAGTGTGTAAGTACGTAGGCGTAGACTTGCAGAGCAGGTGGATGCACCAGAAAGACTTCCTGTTGAGTTTAAGCCTAGGGGATATGACCTTCCTGCTGAACCCAAGCAAACACCGAAGGTGAGTCCTGTACAGGAAACAGCAGCTAGTGGTACGTCGCGTTGCGTTTAGAAAGCCATGATTAGCTTCGTGGTTGACTCCAACCGTGCTTGAACCGCATCCTGCCAAGCAAGGTGTGAAATGACCCGCTTCACCAAAGCGTCAGAGTAGTGGGTCAAAGCGTGCGGCTGGTGCTTCATCAGCTAAGCCGTCCAGGCCGCCGCTGGTGTCTGGACTTGCTTCGCCTACAGTGACCAATTTCCAACAGTCTGGGACTCCGAATGTTTCGCTTTCTCCTTTTCAGAAGATCTTGCAGCATCACGCCGAACACGAAGTGGAGGAGATTGTCGACTGGTATGAGACTGTATGTGAGCTCTTGCCAGTTCGGATGCGAGAGAAAAGCACATAGATTGAGTGATGATGAACGTCCTTTGCCTATCTTTTCCCAATGCTTTGTTTTCCACCCGCGCAAAGTTTGTATAGTGAGTAGTTGTTTGATGTTCATCCTTTATGGATGCTAAAACCAAGAACCTGCGTTTTGTCGAGCACTTCGTTAAAATTCGACTCTGGCAAGGGTGTTCTCGTAAGATCTGCCTTTTGCCTCGCTCCCTCTGTAGTATCCTGCCATGGACAGTGCAGCCTTCTCACGAGACTGGCATTTGCGCATGGCTGTCCGAACTGGTTCTTCTTCTGCCGTGCGAAAACAGAGACGTGTAAAACCCTTTAGAATATCTGCATTGGTGTCAAAAAACTATAGCTTACTGGATGGATAGGTGCGCAGACGAGTCCTCTACAAGAGCTTGTTTTGTATGACTTCGTTTTGGTGCAACGGGCGTATCAAAAGGGGATGACAGCGACGGTGATTCATGATGCTCACTGGAGATCTGGACCGTTAGTAATTATATCGAAAACAACTGGGTATGGCACAACTTGCTTGGTATGATCTGGAGTTGCACGAGGCCAGACAGCCCAGAAACCACGTTGCTACAGAATGTGCACAGACATTTGGAGTCAAGAGTGATCGTGCAATACGAAGTACCATCTATTACGTGGCCGAGTCTTTCCTTACAAAAGGAGTTGAGACGGAAACACCATTGGAAAATGCACAAAAAACAGAAGGAAGCGTGCAAATTATGTCGAAAGGGGGCGTGCAAGGTACGACTGCGCGTGCATCTACCTGATCTTCATGATCCATGTGCTCGGCGGCATTTAGGATTTAGGGAGTTCTCGATTTTGGTAGGAAAGATATTTGGTGTGAACTCGGCCCGAACCGCACAGGCCTTGAGCTGATCAGAATAACGATCCAAGAAAACGTCGAAACTTAACATCGGCAAGACGGACTTGCAAACATTCCAACCCCGATAGCTTTGATAACTCCGCAGAAACGCTAAACCCTAAACTCGATGCCCCGAACCCTAAAGCCTCCCTTCTCCGTCCTCTTTCCTGTTCACCCTTCGGAACGCGCCAGCTGGTGGCTTCAACCGCAAGGCCTCTCGCACGACGCGCAGAGTGGCCGAGTTCTCCTCATAAGGAGTTTGGGTTTAGGGTTCAGGCCGTTTAGGTTTCCGAAGACTCTGCACTTCTTAGGGGCTCCTTGTACGGCAAACAATTCAGGATCTCCAATTCAAAGGGTTCGGCAGGCAGACAGTTAAGCCGCTAATTAGAAGGGGGGTGTTTGTTGTGGCTCAAAGTCGCATTCTTCGAAATTATCGTTGATTTCGGCTCCTGCGTTTGCAGGTGGTTATGACTATGGGGGAACCCCAGACGCGGGCGAATAGGCTCGCAAAATGCGAGACTTTCGCAGCTTTTGGACTTCTGGCCTCTTGTGGGCTAGCCGTGTAAACTTCAAGGGTTTAGGCTTTAAAGCGCCTAAGACGTTTAAGGGTTTAACTGCTGTTACGACGTCCTCGGGGTTTGTCATCTCGAGGTTTTCTGCAGCGATGCGCGGGATCCAGCTCGGGTGTTTGCAAAGCCTGCTCAAGGGGCGGGACGGAGGGGGGAGGGGGCAGGGCTTACTTGGAGAGAGAGAGAGAGATACATATATATGTATATACATATATGTATCAGGAACCTTTGCATATAATGTGCTGATTCCGCTTGGTGGTGTATACTATAGATACAGCAGGGATAGATTTAGATAGTTTAGGACCATACGGGGGAGGCTCCAAATTATCTGAGCTATCTAAACCCAGGGGGGTTTATATAGTTTGGTGTTCGACTCCAGGGGCTGGCCCCAAACTATCTAAACTATCTAAGCCCCTCTCCGCCTCCCTTCGACCAGAAGGGTTCAAACTATCTAAACAATCTAAACCCAGAGGGGGTTTAGATAGTTTAAATAGTTTGGGGCCTCCGGTGCCCACCCAAACTATCTATCTAAACGGGGGTCGTGGGGCCTCCCAGGCCTTAGCGTGGGCCGTAGCACCCCCCAAACTATCTAAACTATTTAAACCCAAAGGGGTTTAGATAGTTTTATAGATGTTTTAGGCCTCCCCGCGCCCAACCGAACTATCTGAACTGTCTACCCCCCCTGCGTTTAGATAGTTTAGCTAGTTTGGGCGGGCACGGGGACCCCAAACTATCTTAACTATCTAAAGCCAGGGGGGGCCAGGGGGGGCTTAGCTAGTTTCGATAGTTTGGGGGCGTCCTGGGGCCTCCCCAGACCTTGCTTGGGCCGCCCGAGGATCCCCAAACTATCTAAACCCAGGGGGGTTCAGATAGTTTAGATAGTTTACATAATTTGGGGGGTCCTGGGACCCGCCCAGACCTTTGCTTGCGGCCGCCCCAGGACCCCCCAAACTTTCTAAACTATCTAAACTATGTAAACTATCTAAAGGAAGAAGGGTGTTTAGATAGTTTAACTAGTTTGGGGCCTCCCCGTGCGAACCCAAAACAATCCAAATCATCTCAACTATCTAAACGGGGAGAGTTAGATTGTTTAGATAGGTTGGGGGGTTCCGGCGGTGGCTGGCCCTGGGCCCTCAGACTATCTCAACTATCTAAACTACCTAAATTATCTAAACCAGGGTGGCGGGTTTCGATGGTGTAGATAGTTTAGATGTCACAGAGGGGAATGGGGAGGGGCAGTACAGACTCCCATGATTCTTGGTCTTCTCCAGATCATTCTCCAATTGGATTAGGAACCTGCTAACTTTAAAATCTAAAGCCCCTAAACCCTAAACCCTAGCTTCCTTTGATGGTGATGCCTGAAACCCTTAATGCCCCTGCTTGTTTTATGTCATACATAGCGCATTATGAAAAAGAACATTTTCTTGAAATGCGAAAGCACGTGTCTTAACTAGAAGCATGAAACCTTCTCCATATTGGGGGAGGCTTCAAGCTCGTGGAATTTCTACTGCGGCAGGACAAAAGTTCGCCACACGGACTCAAGTTAACACATCTAGGGCTATGGCAACCCCTCTCCCCCTAGACTCCTAGCACAGGCTGTCCGCCGGGAACTTTATAACAATATAAATTCAT